AGTCTAAAATCAAATCAGATGTTAGGATTCATTAGGAAAGAAGTAGAGAATAAAAGAGAGGCCATTGTTTTGCCTCTCTGCCTATGCAAGCTTTGCCCACGTCTTGAACACGGGTAGTTCTGGTCCCTGTCAACAATACGGTAGATACAAAAGAACTGGAAAAGATTCAAAGGAAAACAGTGGTTAAAGATGTGATGCGACTTCCATTGGGGATTATTGCGTAAGCTGGGACTCTTCCAATCTGGAAAAGAGAAGGCTGATGGGAGCTTTGATTGAGATTACAAGATCTGTGCCAATACAGGCGCTGGGGTGTGTTAATAGATTAATGCCCAGTTCAAAACAAACAGGAAAAGGTTTCTCTCTGCATGGAGGGCAGTAGAGATGTGGAACTTCTTTCTAAAGAATGTGTGGCCACCAATAGCTTATCTAGCCTTAACGGGAGGTTGGGCAAGTTTGTAGAAGAGAAATACATTGAAGGTTGCTAAGTAGAATGCGAGAAACCACATCTGTCTCAGGAAGTCACCAAGTTGAAAATCGTTAGATGCTGTGAGAGTTTTAACGGGAAGTAGTAAATGTTTGCCATGCTCTTACTCATCTTGAGGCATCTGCTCATGGCCACAGTTGGAGACAGGACACCAAGCCTCTGTTCTGACCTAGTGTGGCTGTTCTCATGTTTTGTAAAGGCTGGTTTTGAGCATGATGTTAATATTTCGCTAAAGACCTTAGCATAGAAGGGAAAAGTCTAATAAGCAATTTTCTAATGAGAGGACTAATATACCAGGTAATCACAGGATGTCTGTGAGCGAACAGGGTGATATACACCTATAAAGAAGGCACAAATGATCCTAGAAAGCATAAAGTACTTCAGATAGAGCTGGGAAGCATTAATGTAATTAAACCTATTCCAAAATATTATGTACTGCTCTGGTTGTCTGTGTTCATATGCAGAAGAGACTACTAGGACAGTTATAGAAACGTGAGTGTCTGTTTTCCAAAAGGCATGGGCCTTAATTAAATTAAATGAGGGGATGCTGTTGCTGTGTATAAATGCATCATGGAAAAAAATGCCAGCACGGGAAAAGACCTAATCAAGCTAGAGAACAATACTGGCACAAGAGCAAATATGTATAAACTGGCCGTGTGTGAGTTTAGGCAGAAATCTGGGATTTTTCTTGCCATTTGAGCAACAGTTTTGCAGCCATCCTCCAAGAAATGTAATGGCGTTACAAACAGTGAAACTTTTAGGGAAAAAAGGAGTGAGGGTACTCTTAATAGTTAAACTTCTGTAGTTAAACTAAGCTTGTAGAAGCAGTCCTGCAAATGGGTGCAGAGCTCTGTGTGTTCTTCGGAGTTGCTCAAGGCCTCCAGCTGCTACCTGTAGCCTGCTGTGAGGCTCTGCTGTCTGTTTCATCTCAGCCAGATTTTTTGTTGTCACTTAGCCTTTTTGTGTTCCTGTCACTTCCTGACCATGGCCTTTCTGTTCCTTCAGATAGTGATTTGGATCTCATCCATCCTTCTGTTTTCTGATCATAGCCATCTTGTGAAATGCAAACACCTGCTGTTTAGTCAAACAAAACAAAAAAAAAAAAGGCAAGGTAAGGTTTAATGCAGATTTTGGGGTATTTGTTTACAAGACCAGAAAATAGAAACAGTGACAGCTGTTAACAGCTTGAACAAATTGTTAGTAGTGGTTCCTGACCAAATAAATATGTTAAACCTTTCCCAGTTTTGCCTTATGTTCTTTTTTCCAGGCTGTTTATTAATAAAACTAGCAGTGATGATGACAGATTGGTTTTCCACAAAGCCATGTGTGGAAAATATCTTTTAAAAGGAGTATGCCTGGTAAAATTCCACTAAATATATTTAAGGAACCTGTTTGAAGTCACGCAGTAAAGTTGTGTTCTAAGTCGTATTTTACTAGTAAACTATATAGTGCATGGCATCCACAGACAACACGGTCAGGACACCAAATGAAGTTATACTTCTTCTCTGAACAAAATAGGACACCTTTTTTTTCCTCTTTTTTTTTTTTGTCTGGAGTGAGGGATAAAGGTGTTTTACTCGCATGTGGTTAGTATGTAATCTCTTCCTAAATTTATGAGCTGTATAAGTTAACTTTTTTTTTTGAAAGGTCTGTGTAGCTGAGTTTCTAATCTGAGCTTTAAACTTAGTGTAGCTTTGCAGTATTGCATGGGAATCTGGCCAGGATTTGGAAGGTAAGTTAAAACCCACGCTAATTCCGGTAGGGATTTGCTTTTCTCAAATACCAGATTTATCATCTGTTAAATGGACATCGCTGTCAG